AAATAAATAAACGTTGGAAAAAAAAAAATTTAAAAAAAGAAAAAAGGAAAAGCGGCAACTTCAGCAGCTACCGTGAAGGCATGCCAGTTTTAATTATTGCACACGAAAGCTATGTTAAATTACCCCGATTCAACTTTCCTCAAAGAACTTCCTATTCTCTGGTTATGTTGTTCAGGAAAATTATGATTGCCCCAAGAATCTCAATCCTTGAGAGTTCGCACATTATTTAATACTTCAAATCCAGGATTCCAGCAAGTGCTGGGAGGGGAAAGTAGCTTTTGAAAATGAGTATTAATCAAAATATATGCCATTTTCCTGTTTTTCTGCAACAATTTCAGACATGTCCTCTGAAATAAGACTTCCAGTTCAGAAGAAGAAGTTTATTTAGGTGAGTCAAGAGAGCTGGCTATAATAACCACTTTGTGGGTAGCTGGGGCGTGTGCAATTTGGAACAGTATACTTAGTTCTTTCAGAATACAGTGTACTTCTAGTAAAGTTCAACAACGTACTTGTGGCTAATGGGGACACGCGAAAGACAAGAGTAAGTAAGACTTTATTGTATGAGTCACAGGTTAAAAATGATTGACCTATGCTTCTCTCACTGCTACGACAACACCATTTCAGAAAACGTACTTCTAAGAGGCCCAGCATTAACCACCTGTTCAGGACTTCCTGAATTCAAACTTCATTAATTAAGAAGGTATAGACTGCTTCTCACAAAGAAGTGAATTCTGAGTATGCAACCTGAGCGTTATTTTCTCAATAATCCAACTTTAGGAAGTAAAAATATCTAACATAGCAGGATTCACACTTAGATTTACTCAAGCATTCTTTCATGTTAAACCTCACTTGTGAGAAGAGAAGAGGAGGAGGGAGGGTGGGAAGAAAGGGAGAATAGGAAGATGGAGAAAGGAAAGAATGAAATATGGACCAATCAAAAGAAAAGCTGAAGAACAGTCTTTTCCAGAAATATTCTTTTTTTTTTTTTAAGAGACAGGAAGCATTTATTGGGGGCTTATACTTGAGGCACTGGGGAGGCAGCGCTAGGAGCAGATGTCCCAGCCCAAAATATTCTTCTTTTTCAACCATCATTTCCTCTTGTGTAGCTAAAATATAATGCCATTACATTCCACCTACTAGCCATAAATCAAATATAGATGCTGATAGCCTGATGTATGATTCAAGGAATAAGTATGATTCATGGTGCATTGTGGACTTAAATATTTCCTTTGCCCTTTTAAAGATCGTAGAATCAAGACGACTTGGAAAAGGACATTACTACATGAGATCAGATACTTACCATTGCTCACCATACGTCTGGCCACCTCCCACAAGACAAGTCCAAAGGCCCAAATATCAACTCTCTTGTAAGAATCAAAACAATCCACCTGAATGGTTTCATCTAGAACTTCAGGGGCCATGTAGCGTTTGGTGCCCACACGGGGGTTGTTCCCCACATCGAGCTGATTGGTACTCTGGGAATGCATGACTGCCAGGCCTAAAGGGAAGAAGACAACAGGGCGGGTCAGTTCACGACCTTTCTCACAGAGGGCTGCTGAAGGCCTTTCAAACCAACCCCAATCAGAAGCGCCCTCTCATGGTAATCGTGGTCACTGCTGCACTACATCCAGAGCAATCTGGAATACTGTTGTGATGACACCTGTCACCAACAGAAAAAAGAACTAATGCCAGAAACATTCTGACGCTATTAAGTTAACACATGAACCCCTGAGACAAAAAGACTTGGGGGAATAATAAACTGAAGCACCGAAGCACTGTGTGGCCAGTGTTTGAAGTCCACAGGAAAACAGGCTCACATGTTAAGTGGGAATCTCCAAGTGTCTTACCAGAAGGAAATTAAGTTCTCCTGCTCCGCCACAGCTCCCAATTGTGTGCAAACACAAATTTCCAACAGTGTGAGGCAGCGAATCTGCGGTAACGTATCACTACTTAAAGGGCAGACTCCATCCCTTGAGGAAGGGATGCTCATTTGAGACTTAGCAATGCTGACCAAGCCCACAGGCTTTTCTCTAAAGTCATGCATACAGACAGCATTAAACTGCCCTCAATTCAAAGCACAGCCCTCCTGTTAAATGGGTTTGAAGCCCTTTCTTAAACCATCCCTCATTTCAGAATTCCTCAATCAGAGTGACCTGGCATTCCACACAGACCAGGAGGGGTAGGCAGATACATGCATGATTCATTGTGAGGATAAAATTACTTTTTGATATCCATGCTGACCAACTGAAAGTAATTCCTTTAACACACAATGAAAAGTGCCACATTGGAACAAGCAGCCTGTGTAAACCTTTGCAACCCAAGGATCCTTTGGGGATCCCTCAGGCCATCTAGGAACACTTCTGCTCCTGCTCTGTGGCTCTGAGTGTGTGGGATGATGACTCCTTATCATGCCACAGGGATGGCACCTGTTATCTCACCCTGAAAAATTACTAGAGACATCAGCGATTGCATTCACTAAATCAGACCGGTTCCTCTTTCCCTGCCTTTTATAATCAACCCCAAGATTCTGTGGCCACTGTCTCCCAAAACATATATACCTCTTTACTGTTTCCAGAACCGAGGAGTCAAAATAACAGAATATAAAAAGGAGCAGTTTAAATAGATCATGGCAGTACTAACTGTGGTGGTTTAAAAATATGTCCTCAAGTTCTTTGAGACTTCTCCTTTCAAGAGGTGAAGTTCAACTCCCTCTGCCTTGAGGGTAGGCTGTGCTATCAAACAGAACCTGGCAGAAATGAGTGTATATCTTCAAAGTTAGGACATATAAGGCATCATGGCTTCCTCTCTGCTCGCTATCAGTTCTCTTGTGTTATGAGGCCACTCACACAACCCCGTGGAGAGGTCCCCGTGACAAGGAACTGAGGCCTCCCACCAATAGTCATGTGAGTGGAGCCATCCTGGAAGTTCCTCCAGCCCTCATCAAGCCTTCAGGTGCCTGGAGCTCTAATCGACAGCTTGACTGGAACCCCCACCAGATCCTGAGCCAGAACCGTAGAGCTAAGTCATTCTAAGATTGCTGACCCTCAGATGACTATGTGAGATAACAAATTTGTTATTTTATGCTGCTAAGTTTTAGAGAGAGTTTGTTACCCAGTAATAGATAATTATCACACTACTTAAAGAGACAAAATATCCAAATGCAATGTGTGAACCTTGCCTGATTTCTTGTTTGAAAAAAACAGAAAAATCTGAAAATGGACATTAAATGATATTATTGAATTATCAATAATTTTAGGTTTGATAAAAGGATCATGCAGATATATTTTGGTATTTTTAAGAGATGCATTTTGAAATATTTAGAAGTGTTGTGATGTCTGCAACTTATTTTCAAATGTATCAGCAAGATACACGTTCAGCTACATATAGATAAAGCAAATATGGCAAAATTTTAACAACTGCTGAATCTCAGTGCTGTGGGTATGAATGATCTTTATACTTACTATTCCCTCAGCCTTTCTGTATGTTTGAATTTTTTATAATAAAAAGTTAGAAAAATAAATACAATACTGAAATTTTTGCAGTTTCAATAATAGAACATGATTTCTAATGAGTGATCCTTAATTTCTGGGTATAAAGTGAAAAATTAAACAAATGATGATCTTACAGGACGAGCTGTCTTCTGTTCAAAGGATCTACTCCCTGAATAATAAACACCTTAACACAGATTTTTCTACAAATCTATGTATCTAACTGGAAGGCTACAGGCCAAAAGAAAGACAGATGAATCACGAATTACTTGGACTTACTGAAAAACACCTCTGACTCCCTATCAAGTCCCATAACCAAAGCCAACAGCCTCCTCAATTTTCCATCTCCTCTAGACCACTGGACTATAACAGCAACCACCCTCTGAATGCTTATCATTTGCAACGCAAGTATTGTAACTTCTGAATCTTGTAAGAATCATGTGAGGTAGGCATAAGTGATTTTTAGTAACATGAGTAATAGTTGAACGCAGCGTTATGAACATTTGAAACAGTACAGAAGTACAGTGCACAGTGTCAAACACTAAAGTGTTCCTTGCTAAGCCCCTTACCCTAACATCGAAAATAAGTGGTCGTGTACTTCGGGCAGGTAAATAGATTAAAACACCTGCACAGATATACGGGGTGAATAACTGGGAAAATCAGGATTCCAGCCCAAATCACCCTGCTCCAAAAGCCATGGCATTGCCATGAAAGTCCAGTACACCACAACTACAACTGCCCACAAAAAGCTTTAGAGCCATGCCCTTTCAATGCTATCCTTAGTAGCTGTCTTCTCACACTTGCAAAACATTGTAAAATAATTCTCAGCATGAATGCAAAGACTTTAAAGAAATAACAAAAGAAATGAATTTTCCTGACATGTCGAGTCTTTTGTGTTTAAAAACAAGAATAAATTCTATCATTTATATCATAGAGCTAATACTGTCTAAACCTTTATCAGCCTACAAGTATAGGAATACTAGGAACAATAACTACAGGTATATGGAAGAAAATAATATAAACCATTTTTTAATCAAATAGAGTGAGGACTCTCAATAGTCCACTGACATGAATAACCAATATTACAATTCAGTTCCCATTAGCATAATTACTCAGCCAATATCCAAGGAGTCTAAGTTGAAGATGGTTTTATATACAATGTCGCTATAAATGAAAACAGTCTTATTTATAATGCAATTAAAGCTCACACTGAGCAGTATCCTAATACCACAGGAATGAGGTATCCCAGCAGGGCAAATTGCGAACTGGGTTAGGTTTTCTCTTTCTTCATTGATAATTTTGCCATGGTTACAGAAAAAAACAACTTTAGAAACATTTTCAAGATGAACTCATTCCCTAGGTTATTTGTGTACCTACTTTGTGTAAAGGTTTGGGAAATGAGAATGCTACACACTATTGGTTGCCTCTGAGGGTGGGCTGGGGCAGCGATGCACTGCATGGGCATGAAGTGACTTTCCAAAGTAATGCGAAGGTCTAACTTTCGATAGACATTTGGATTTTACAGCACTTGTCAAAACTCTGAGAATGTATTACTTAACGTTTGTTCATTTCACATGAAATTGAAATTTCACCTGGAAAGAAAAAAGTAAACACACAGTAGTCACTCTGGTGAATGACACAGTGGTATACATGCTCGAGTCTTTACAAGAAAGGGCTCTTTTGTGTGCAGTTTACTTAAAGCATCAAAGATTATGATGGATTGATGAGGGGATGGATGATGTGTGGCAAAGCTTAAGAACAGTAAAATGTTGATGGCAGAATCTAGGCGGTGGGTATACAGCTATTCACTATGAAGTTCTTTTGATTTGTCTGCATGCTTGACATGTTTCATAACGAAAGGTTGCGGGGGGGGGGTGGTGGATGCAACCTAGCTAAAGGATGGACTGCAACAGAAGTAAAAATGGTAATTAAGAAATATTTTTAAAACTTTACCCAAATCTGCTATGCAACACTGTCCATTCTTCTTAACCAGGATGTTTTTGCTCTTTAAATCTCGATGAGCTATGGCTGGTTTCCCTTGGGTCCCAAATATCTCTATGTGCAAATGTGCGAGACCACTAGCTATAGACAGCACTATTCGCAGGCAGCTAACTGTATCCAGAGTAGTAAGCTGAAGATAGTCATACAACGATCCCATTTCGTGATAATGTGTAATTAACCATAACTGGGTACTGGAGTGTCTTGATGTCATGTCTGAAGCAATAAAACCTGGAAAGAGCAAGAACAAAATTAGCAGACATGTAAGAATTTCACATTATAACTTGTGGTACACAGAAATAGAAACCTATGAGATAGATACCACCTACAACAAAAAATCATTAAACTTCCATGAAAGGAGGTTTACAGAGGCATCAACAGAAAAATGCAATACTATTTATTCCATAACAAGGTACTGCTAATGAATAGGAAATTTCCATATTCATTTCCATGACAAATAATCCTTTAAAATATTATACATTGCATTAAGATAGGAATAATATCTTCGTGTTTACCCATAATGATAGCATCAAACTCTTTATCATGCTCATATTCCAAGCACAGATTATTCATCGACCACCCAAAAAGAATAAAAAAACATAGTATCTAGGGGCACCTGGGTGGCTCCATCGGTTAAGCGACAGACTCTTGATCTCAGCTCAGGTCATGCTCTCACAATTTGTGTCAGCGCTCTGCGCCGACAGTGTGGCGACTGCTTGGGATTCTCTCTCCCCTCTCTCTCTGCCCTTCCCCCATTCACACTCTTGCTTGCTCTCAAAATAAGTAACCTTAAAAAACATTTAAACATTAAAAAAAAAAAACATATAGTATCTAGACACCTATGTTCTCATATTGACTCTGCCTGTGATTTGCTGTGTAATACTGGGTCACTCGTTTAGGTTCTCTGGATTATCTCTACTCAGATGAAAGATAAAGGGATAAATTTATATTAAATGACTGACTACTCATCAAATAAAAAAGAAACCAAATATAATAAGCACCTATGATGCCCTTTGTCAATCACACAAGAAAACCAAGATAATAGTGTCTGTTGGCTAGAGAAGAAGACAGATATAAAAAGGAAAAATTACAATATAATGTAATGAATATAATGAAAAGTACTGTTACATCTGTAAAGGGCAACAGGAGTCCCAAATAGGGACTGCTAATAATTCAGACCAGATGTTACAACAGGCTTCCACCAAGAAGTGATAACTGAAGTGGTTTTTTCAAGACCACTTTTCAAGACTTCTTTTCAAGAAGTGAGATTTGACAGAGGTCGATAAAGTGGTAGGAACAGATTTTTCTAGACATTCTGAGGGGACCCTTGAGCAAAGTGAATGACCTCTAGAACTTTCTAACCTATGGAATAAATTGTGATGTGCATGCTTGCCTTTTCTGCTAGAGGTGTTTTCCATGCACTCACTCTCACATGCTCTCTCTCTCCATATATGTGTGTGTGTGTGTGTGTGTGTGTGTGTGTGTGTGTGTGTGTATACACACACACACATATCTTTTTATATACACACATATACATATTTTATATATGCACATGTAAATATTTATACACACACACACACACACACACACACACACACAATACCCCGCTAATGTCCACTACAGGCAGTGACATTTGGAACTTATAAATAAAAGGATATTAAAAACAAAAGAAAGATGTGGCTCCAGGAAGGATTAAATGACTTGTGAAAGGATGTAGAAAAACACAAATACGTGGAACATGCCTCACACTTGCATAGTGCTTGATATAAAATTCGTGTCACTTTCACATGTATTTTCTCATGGGATTTTTCTCAATACACTAGTAACACAGATATCATTACAGTCAGTTTATAAATAATGAAACTGCTTTTAGGAAATGCCAAATTACACATCCATTAAGTAGCTGCTGACCCCAAGTTTGGTGCTAGCCATCTGGGTACACCGTTGCTTACACAGAAAACTCTGGGAACAAAGAAATGTCCCCTATTTGATCGTCATCATCAGCAACAGAAGCAGCTAGTAAATACTGGGACTAACAAGTTCTACACGGTCTGCACATAATCCTCCAAAAACAACAGAAAGGAGGCAGAGGACATCATTGACGTTAAGGCCAGTAATGGTCCCAGTAGCCTGGCTCTAGAACCGCTACTCTTACCCATGATGCCATACTGCCCCCAAACAAGCTCCTTTCTACGCAGAGAAAGACAATTTGACACTTGTATCCATTGGACATCTGCAAAGTAAAGGAAGTAATGTTTCCACACCATGATACCCTACCTCCTTCTCCACTTCCCTCTGAGCTGGTTCCCACAGGCAGCCTCACTCCTGCACGCCTTCCCCTCTCCAGTCTGTGTCACCCCATAGCGATTTCTCCTGGAGCCCTTCACAGGCCATAATATGTGTACTTACCTATTAGTCATTCTTACTAAAGAAAATGTTTCTGCTTTATCCTTTTCAACCAAATGATATTGTTAATCATGTTCAAAAATAAATATCCTAAACTATAAGCACCACTGAAAAGAAATTAAATTACTGTTTGTGTATCTATATAGCCTCTACTGATTTCTCTGCTTAAGGGAGAAAGAACAGTCTCTGACTGACTGATTGATGAAAGAGAGAGAGAGAGAGAGAGAGAGAGAGAGAGAAAGAAAGAAAGAAAGAAAGAAAGAAAGAAAGAAAGAAAGAAAGAAAGAAAGAAAGTAAGTAAGTTTATTTATTCACTTACCTTCCCCTAAGCCCCTTAGGTTTTAGGAAGGATTTTGTTTGTCCCGTTAATTATGCTCTAGACCTTCCAGGAAAATGACTTTTAAATAGGCAGGATTTCTTTTTAACTGTTTATCTCCCAAGTGTGAATTATAGAACTACATTTGTTTGAGAGTGCTAGAGCATTTTTATGGAACTTTTGCAATTTCAGTCAAAGCTCTCTACTGTTAGGGAAGATTGAACAGGTACCAGGGCAGAACACAGGCATAGCCATTGGATGTGTTCATTAACAGGGAGAAAAAGTGATTAGAACAAAAGCCTCTTAGGGGTGCCTGGGTGGCTCAGTCAGTTAAGCATCTGACTTCACCTCAGGTGATGATCTTGCAGTCCGTGAGCTGAAGCCCTGCACTGGGCTCTGTGCTGAGAGCTCACAGCCTGGAGCCTGCTTCAGATTCTTGTGTCTCCCTCTCTCTCCACCCCTCTCCTGCTCACACTTTCTCTCTCTCTCTCTCAAAAATAAATATTTAAAAAAAAATTTTTTAAAAGAACAAAAGCCTCTTATTTAACAGCTAAAGTCATCCTCCCAGCCTCCTTAAAAATGAAAATAAAACCCAAAATATCATGTTAGGTCACCAGTGGCCCCTGTGAGCCTCTCCTTGGTGACCCGCCCAGGAACCAGGAGCTGGGTAGCTATGACAGCTGAGGAGTGAGGCCACTACACTGTGGGGCACGTGCTGCAGAGGGTTGGGCCCCAGAGCTGGATGGCTGGGTACCAATCGGCTCCACCATTCCCGAGCTGGGTGATCTCACACAAGTCATGTAAGATCTCCACCTTGGTTTCCTCATTTGTAAGATAAGGATAACGTCATCATCAATCTCAAAGGGGTACTGTGAGAATAGAAGAGTAATTATAGGTACAGTGCTTCATATGATGCCCAACACAGGAAGTATCGAGAATAGCTGGTTAGTACTACATTTTAGAATAGCTCAGTATTCAATTAAAGCCACAACAATTTTGTAATGTACTATCTTTTGCGGGTGGCTTCCTTTACTTCCACTTTGTTCTCAAGAACTTCTGATTAAATGGTTAGGCAGTACCACTTAGGAGTATGAGGCAGTTCTAGAGATGGAGGGTGGCGATGGTTGTACACGGAGAATGTACTTAATGTCACTGAACTTCCTGCTTAATAGGATTAAAAAAGTAAACTTCACATTTTACTATTTTTTTTTTTTTAAAAGAGTGTAAGATGAGACTTTGGAGTAAAATTCTCACATTGACTCAACTCCCTTGGTCTTAGTAATGAGGAAAAGAACACTCAGCAACATATAACTTTGGCCAAAAGTCACACAGTGGGGTTGTTAGTGGTGCTGAGAGTAGAAACCAGCTTCTCAAGTTCCTGACCACCGTTCCTGCCACCACATAGCACAGCCTCCCATTACCCACTTGTCTGTTGACTTCTACACCAGACAGAGCAGAAGGAAGAGCTGAAAGCCACACGAGTCATTTGAAAGATATTGTTGGAGGGGGATAAACAATGAGGGTGCGGAGTTTTATGTGTATGCATATATGTGTAAATGTTTGTAATTTTTTTTACTCTGAGGGGCTAGAGTTAGCAATACTCAAGAGTGGACAGAAATAATGATCCGATAGCCAATACAACATGCTCCTTTGATAGAAAAGGAAATGATCACAGAAAACCTTAAAGTCTCTATATCCAGAAAACTGGTACAGCAAGGGAAAGAAGTTGAACCAAGTTTAGCCAAAAAAGAAAAAAAAAGAAAAAGTGATGCATTTTTAAATGAGCTTTCTCAACTAAAAGAACTACACAGTAAAATCAGTTCATACAGCTGCAATTATGATGATGTTATTAGAAGGATCTCATGAACACAGAATTTCCTTGGATCATTTGGTAATAAGAAATGAACAGTGTTTTGCAACTATGTGGTCACTTCTCTCATGTGAATCATTATTGCAAAAGTGACTTTCAGATTTCTCTTATGATTAAATCTAATTTACAACAAACATTTACTGAGCACCTACCATGTGCTGGGTACTGTCCTTGGTTCTGAGTATGAAAGTAAAAACAATGGAAATGATTCTTGTTCTCGGTATACAATGGAATGGTATCACAGTTCATTTAACTCAAAAGCACTGATAAAGTGATGATTTGCATAGCCCCGCAATATCTAGAGCGTTTTGCTCGATGAACCTGTGAGCCCATGAGAATAAGAAGGGGTGCCTAAACATGCCCTTCCGCTAATGAATCTCAGAGCCCGCATACGTACTTATTAAGAGTATGTGCACCTGCCCATTAACAGAATTCCACCCTTGAAAGACCAGTACTCCCTATACATCACGGCTTCTAACATAACTGACGCTTTATCTGTTACTCAACCTGTCTGTCCCAGTGTCAGAGGAACAATTGGGACATTTAAGGATAGTTTTGACTGTGGATGAATTTTCACCTCATACTCTTCACTGTAGAATCACAGAAGCAGTTCCCCAAGCTCGCTACCACATAGAGTACAGAACTGTGATTTAGAGACAGACTGCCCAGCGTGACTCTCAGCTCTACTCTCTAACCTGATGGGTGCCGGGAACCTCTATACCTTGGTTAGCTCATCCGTTAAAACTAGCAAAACAAGAGTATCCACCCTCTTATGACTGTGGTGAAGATTACGCGAGAAAATGCACATTAAGCGTGTACAGCAGTGTAAGTAGTAACTAGTGTAACTGGTGTTGACTAGTCATTGCTGTTTCACACATGCATCAAACTATGACACAAGGTAGTATGTGAGCAGGGCCACAGCGCAGTTACAAAGCGAGGGCGTGCAGAAAAGCACAAGTAAGTCCTCTGGGATAAACTGAAAGGGAATTGGGCGATTTTGATGGAAGGAGGAGTCGGCGGAGTGTGGGGTGGGTTCATGGGTGATCAAGACCACCGAACGAAGGTACGGACACTTGAATGTTCGTGGCAATCCCAAGTAATGGCAAATATCAGAAGTGGCTGCCCTCTGGGGATATTTGTAGAGGAAGGCTGAGACTCCTTGGGACCCCAACAAATAAGGAGTCTGGGTTGGCAAGCCCAGAAGGCACAAATGTGGCAGGCCATGCAGGAGTCATCAAAGACTCCATGAGAAGTATAGCAGGGGAGCAAGATGGACTGGAAACGGGAGACCAACAGCAATGACGCAAGTGAGCACGACTGGGTGACAGTGAGAGCCCAGCAGGTAAGGTAAGGGGAGAAGACAGCAGCAGAAATACACAATTCTAAGATGGAACACACAACCATCCTGTCAAAGCAAAACTGTAGACAACTGTCAAACCGTTATTTGCGGACAACCTGACTCGGGTTTAATACGAAATTGGCAGCGATGGAATAGAAATAAATTCTAGTAATGGCCTTCCTATAAGCCACATCTCACCCAATAGCCACGAGGTGTCCAACACTATCCTATAGAGTCCATTTCTATATAAACTTTATACCCACCAATAAAGCACTCTGAGCAGCATTCCCATACATGTATTAGTATAAACACATTTAGAGAAACTTTCCCAAGACACAGAAGTCAATGGGAACAAGGAATATTCTCACCCCTTATACTTCCAAAGCAGTATTTCAATGGGCTCCTCACATATTTCACAAATGGTTCTAAGCCTTCGTTTCCAAATTAAAATGGATGCTAAATCCCTCTGTAAATCTGGGCTTTAAAAACCATGCCTAGTTTGAGGGAACGTGCATTTAATTATGATGTCCCTGGGAGCTGTGAATCTCTAGGAAATCGTCCAAAGAGCTTTCTTAGTTTGATTCAATAAATATTCAAAAAGGGTGCGGTAAGTAGAACAACGGATGAAGCCTTGAAGTGAACAATATGGGGTAAATTTTTGTTGCTTAAATAACAACCTACAGAATAAGAATTAGCAATAATGATTTCATTTTCATCATCCAGAGAATCTTCAAACTTCGCTTCTTTGCAGATTTAAACAAGAAATTAGCATTAAAAGAAAATTAAACTTTATATAAATGCTGACGATCCCTATTATCCCTTTTTGAGGGAGACTTGCAAATTCACAGCCACCAACTCTGAGAGGGCAAAGGGAGGCAACTCTTTGTTTCTGGATAAAATTAACGAGGGGATTATCTTTGTACTTACCTAAAATATTTTCATGCCTCAGCATCACAGTGTTGTACAATTCTGTTTCCCTGAACCATGACTTCTCATCCCGGGAGGAGAAGATCTTCACAGCGACGTTCTCCCCCTGCCAGCTGCCCCTCCACACCTCACCATACCGGCCCTTCCCTGGAGAAAGCAACACAGAGGTGATGTGGGACTGGTGAACAGGAGAGGTAGCCAGGACATCTCTTGCCTGCATCTATTACCCCCTTCCACTGTTTACTTGCAAGAACTGAATCTGGGGCTATAAACAGCACCACCTTTCTCCCGTGAAGACATTCAAAAGTAAGCCGGAACCTGCCCCTCCTGGCCACCCACTGTCATAACAAATTCAACACCCTCAGTGTCTGCACAGTACAACTGGCTGCTAATTACGAAGTTTACAGTTAAATTCCTCTATTAAAACCTATGAAACATATATGGTTTTTAAAAGCACCTGAAAGTTAGTGAAATTAAGAAAATGGTACAGAGTATTAGATTTCACTGTTGTGCTGAAAGCCAAAAATATAAAAAAATTAAAAACCTGCACGTGTCCAAATTGAATACCTTTCTGGACTCCTTCCCTTCAAACAAGATCAATGTAGATATTTTCTTGGGAGTCCAAATCTGTGAATTTACATACGCATTTATATTTTTCATAAGGGAGAGGCTATTAAGTTTGAGATATGCATTCTGAAGGATCCCCCCCCCAAAAAAAATCACACGTAAACACACACACAAAAAACAGTGCTGTGTAGGAGACCGACAAGCAGCCAGTACCTTCCCTAAAGGATTTCTTGGCAGAGGATATATTTCAAAAGAGGATTTGCAGAGTCTTAAAGACATAATCCTAGAACAGTTCTGATTCCCGACATTGGTCATGGGTATTTGCTTGTTAGACAGCCCCGGTGGTGCCAGAAGTGGGCCACGTTGCAAAGACCCCTTGGAGAAGGCATTTCCCAAAACGTGGTGTCTCTAGTTTGTGATCTGCCCCGTGGGGGGCACGCCCCCTCCTACAGCAGCAACACGTCCGTCAGCCTGTCCACCACTTGTTCCCTCTTCCATTCTTCTCCTTAATTATAGGTAGGGGTGATGGGAGAGGCTGGGAGGAGGAGGTAATTACCACGAGACTACGGGGATCAACACAGGGTATAATCAGGGTAAAGACACACGCGGCACCTAGATACAACAAAGGCAGGAGATACACCTTGCGGGGCAGTGGGGCTTTCCACCGGGCCAGTGGCTGCTGGGAGTCACAGCTTGTAATAAGCAGCTGCAGCACCACCTGCACACACAGGAACATAGCTCTTTGCTAAAAAAAAATTAAGCCAAACATGGAGGAAGAAACCCAAACATGGAGGAAGCAAGCTCGCCTATCCAGGTGATTATGTCCTGACACAAAATCCAAACCACTCAATCTAGAATCCCTCATGATAAACAATGTCCCTATTAAATACCAATGACTACTTCCAAAAGGATGTTAAATGGGGCCAGGAAGTCATCATTGTGGGCTGCTGTCAGGTCACAAAAATAGTATTTAGAGCAGGACTAATTTTAATACAGTCATAGCAATTGCCCAGCATTTGTAGTGCGAGATGAAGGCTAGTGCTAAGACAGTATAAAATAGGCTGCTACAAAATAGTATGCTGATCTTTTCTTGCCTTTGGTAAAATTCTGTATCTTTATTTGCCCTTTGTCCTCATATTCTCATTAGGAAGGAGAGAAAAAACATGCCGGAGAATTGTATACATTACTATAAAGTTGCCTTAAATCCCTTTTTTTTTTTTTGTAAGGAAACAGAGATGGATGTCAGGATAAGTAGACAGATTTAAAATAGAAACATACTTCAACTTCAATGGTTTTCAAATGCTTTTAAGTTGTCAAATGCTTTTTAGAAATGCAACCTTATGGGGAAGTCGCTAAAAACAGAAGCAGGACTGCCCAAAAGTACTGGCCATGGAGCCCCCGTGGAAATCCCTAAGGTATCTGAAATTTGGGGGGTTCACTAATCACTATCTGGTAACAACTGATCTAGTCCAACTTCCCATGCTTTTGAACCCGAAATGGTAACGTGCTATCCAAGCAGTTCATCCCATACATTTTTATTCAAGACTGTACCACATGAACACTAACTATAAGCTACTGAAATGGCATTGCTTTTATGAAAGTCTTTAGCACCGAAGCAACAAAATGCTATAATTGAATTTACACTATTTCAAAGAATGCTCAAGAATATCCACACTATCCCAAACAGCATGTCTTTTTAAAGGCACAGTAATATTTTGCCCTTTGGACTCTGGGCTCAGTCTCTAAAAACTGCTATTGAGATCGGCTGCCCTGTGAAATGTCACCGGCCATGGGACAGGAGGGTAGGGGGAAGCGAGACAGGAAAACATCCCTGTCACTGCCTTCTCACTCCTACTCAAATACCTGTCCCTGTTCATAATCAAATGGGATGTCAGGTAGTACAAGAGGACAAGCCTGGTTGTATGCAATGGGCACATTTGGGGCTTTTCCATTTTTCTTTGCCCACCATGGTCCACTGTAGAAGAGAAACGTGAAGTGTGGTTCAGAGACCGCCCCAGCTGCAGACCTACAGCAGAGGCAAAGGACTCCTGCTGGCCCCCTGTGTGCCTGAAGGCAGCACCTGCTGCTCCTACCACTGCTGCCTAGCCCCCTTCCCATTATCCGGCCTGAGGGGGTCCTGATTTCCATGAAAACAGAAAGAAAAGTCAGAGGGTAGCAGCCAAGTGGTGAAGGCAGCTAATGGCAGCCAGCCACCTCCCAAAAGCAAAAGATGGGATGACTGGAGCTGCAAAGAAAAGAAAGCTGGAGAAATACAAAGAGCATGTAGGGATGCTGCCTACCTATCCGCCCCATGGCCATTCCTGCACACCGTCCAAAAGAGAAATTCATGACAACTACCAGGTGATCAGAAATACCCGCCAAATAAAAGTAAAACTACTAAAACTCAGGACTTCCCAAAAAAAGGGCATTTTGTACCATCTTCCCGGAGGGCGACCAGCAATTGATAAACAGCCCATAAAAATGTCACAAATTTTGACCCAGGAACCCCAATTCCTGGGAATTTATTCTGAGCACTCAAAAGAAAGACGCAAGGTATGCAAAAGCCTTTCCGAGCAGTACCATGAAAATTCAACGATCATTCAAAAGATCATGATTACATAATCTTTTAAAATACTTGTGATGTGTACAGATAGATGGAAATGTACATGAGCTTAAAACTGACAGGAGGAACACAAATCGTGTACACACTATGTTACATCTATATATAAACCTGTTCCTAGACGGGGAAAATAGAACAGGCCACAGAGAAATGGATATCACTCTTGTTTAAATACAACAATTTTAAAGGTAGCCTTAGTAAATTTATCTCATTATTTTTAACGTCAGTGGGAGAGTGAGTGGGATTGGAGAACTGCCATAAGCAAGTGTATTGTCCAAACGCCTACTCACCTCAGATCACTCAATGCCTGTAGTCAGGAGCAGCCATACTATACAAATTCTTTCCTCATTCCTTCCCATCACCCCCAAAGGGTCTACCTACAACTAAAGGCTTTTGATTAGCCATTCTGCATACTAACTAGCAACAGATTCCTTTGACAAGAACTTCAACAAGTTGAGGTGCTCTGACGCAGGTCAGATACATAGCCACACCGTCTCCTGTGATTTCATGAGCAACGGGCAGCAAGGGGCAGATTTTTCAAGTCCCACCCTGCCTCTAGAGCCACAGTGAACACTGCATATAACCCACAAAGGAATAGAAAAAATTACCGACACACTCCAACAGTGTGATCTGACGAGCCACCGTTCTTTGTACCAGAAAAGGGAGGCCAGAGCCGCTTCCTGATGTACATGAATGATCCAATAAATCCTGTGGTTCAAGACAAGGAGAAAAAAAGAAACTACTGAGAAACAGTTCCCGGTTCAGAGTATGAGCACGTGTATCACAGCAACACTCACGGACATAGCAATCCTGGACATGTGGCCCGTAAGCATGCACAGAACGTCCCACTGGAGGAAGAACTGGTTTTCTTAGGAAAACCAAAAGCTAGCCCTTCCCCCGATAGAAGACAGGTTTTGCTGAGGGATAAGCAGTCTCTTTGTGCATCCAGAGTTTTAGAATAAAAATGTATATATTTAAAAAAAAAAAAAAAAAAAAAAAAAAAGGCTGAGGGCACAAAGTCAAAGATGCAAATTACAAAGTCCCAGGAGCAAGGCTGAGCGCAAAGGGAAGCAAGAGAAAGAGCAGCGAGTGGAGCAAAAAGAGGGGCCTTCAAGTCCAAGGCTGGGCATAACTAACCACGTTCTGCTCTGTTCATAACTATCTATGAAAGGATTCACTATAGTTGGCATGCCAACTAAGGAACTCTAAAAAGGAATAAACGAATTAGGAATAAGGAACAAACAATTCCAATGTTGCTTATATTGGAAAGACTCCAGTGGCCACGTGGGTCATCACCCTGGTACACACAAGCAGAGAAGGGCCACCTGGATGGAGGTTACCCTTTAGGTAGGTGAGGAACAAAAGCATCCCAAAAGTTAACCCTCGATGTCATTTCCCGGTGTGAATTATACACAAAGCAGAGAGGAAAAATAAACTTTCATTTAAAACATAAAACCGTGCCCCAAACCTACTGGAACATACTGTGGGAAAAACTCCCAATTAGTTCATTCATAAGTTTTTCCTTCTTATTGTCAGTGCAAGTCAAAGAGTAGATGCCTTTTTGTATCAGGACTTAATAATTTGTAATACACAGTATTGTGCCCATGGTGATAGGTGTTGTGGTTGCAGTAATGTTGAGCTGACATTCCCCAAAGCTCATCCTTTCCCAGATGTTTTAGCTAGCCTGTTAGAGCAATACATTGATTTGTCTGCATTTCATCTTCTTTTCCTTACTCTGAGCACCACTGGGAAGTACTGTTGATCAGCAAAATTACCAAAATCTGAACATCCAAAGGAAGATATTTAGAATCCTTAAAAACCACAAAATGGATAATCAACAAGAAATTGAATGTAGATCAAGCAGTTCCATATCTCCCTAACCATCTCTTTTGCTGTTCTGTTTTCTCATTATTCATTCAATTTTTTTGAGAGAATAACTCTGAAAATTAAACAAATGTGTTGTTTTTTCATCATGTATAATCGTGGTTTTAAATCTGGTTCATAGACTTAAGGCGGGGGAGGAGAATCAACCAGACTAACAAACATCTACTTCAGCTCCTGGATCCCAAGGCTTCTTTTTCAATGTAGGAAGCTGTTCAGTAAGATAGAGTTTGTTGAACCACATATATGAGCACATCACTTAAATAAGCAAGTATATAGATGAATAATGATAACTTGTTTTAAACAGTGTTCTTTACTGTGCTATCATATCGTTATATACTGTCATCCAACATGGCTGTGTTGAGAAGACTATTTTAGCACACACTCCCATCCCTCTTCCAGACTTACAGAAGCTACTTAACAGCATTTTACACTAGATATTCCTATCATTGTCCATTGTGGTTGGCAAGCTCTGGGGAACAGAGTTCTGACTAATCTGCTTGAGAATCCTGCTTCGCTAAAGCTTTCTCAGGATTCAGCCTCATATCTTCTTGCTACTGACTCAATAAACTCGTTTAATTTTCCTTAATATTTGAAATAAACTCCAAAATACATTTCTAACAAAAAACCGTGATTCTCTTCTTTGGGAAACAGAACGCCCTCTTCTCCTGTTTTCCCAGTTCTGCTGTACTACAATCTAAATAGATAGGTGAACGGAAGAAAACGAGGTTCCTTCCCCCTTTCCATACAAAAAAGTACACCTGACCGGTGGCCCAATAGCAGGGAAGGCAGAGGAGGATGGGATATTTCCTAGCCTGTATCAGCCACCACCAAATGTTTTAACAACTAGCCCAGTTGGTCCAAGAATAGCGCCAGAGCTACAAAGACAGGTGAGGGTGAGTCTTCTCCAGCAAAAAGGTAGTTGCAGGGCAGGCTTAGGTGGAGAAGGACCAGACACTATTAAGCTTGTCCCCTAGCAGCACAAGACTTAATATGAGATGATCTTAGGTAATGCATGGCCATGGCATTAAATAACATTGAATCACATTAGAAAGCTATGACCTTGACGGTCTTCCATCAAATTATGACAAGGAGAGTCTCGATTTCGTATTAGCATGTCTTTAACACCTAACACTCACTCATCTTCACCTTTTTCAAAGGATGCATCAGACTCAGCATAGCATCACTTTAGAAGGCTATTACTTCTCTCTTTTGCATTTTATGGTAACCTATTTATAGCTAGTGGTTCCCTTGTCTCGCTTGAAGTTTAAAGTTTCTGTAAAATTAACACTCCACAATTTTAAAAGTAAGAAAGGAAGACACATTTTAATGGGATTTCATTTAAAAGTATGCAAAAGAATAACTTTAAAACATATAAATACAATGGTGTCTGACACTGAGTTGTCCATAAATGCAGCTACCAGCCACATGTTGGCTTTTAGCAAGGGAAATGTGGCTAGCCTGAACTGATATACATGCTGTGACTGTAAAGTATACATCAGATTTTAAAAACTTAATTCCAAAAAAAAAAAAA